CCAGCTGTGTCACTCTAAGTCAGCAATAGGTCATTTTTGTGGAAATCATGGGGAGCCTGCCCTGATATTATTCCACCATCAGGTATATGAGGTGATGGCATGTTAAGGTAGAAAAAGTGGTCTGTGAAGTCTGATATCTCATGAACTGCTTGGAACTGGGTGAGTTTTTACATCAATCCTCTTACCTACACTAGATGGGGACAGATGAGTAAGTGTTTGTAAAGGGAGAGAATCTATATGACGTCTAACTTAACTCCAGGAAATACATTCCTAGGTGGACAAACAAGTTCAACAAAGTTTGTGGGGGAGCAGGAGGAGGGGCCTGCCTTGCAAGGGCAGGTGAACTGGGAGGCAAGAGGGACAGCTGGGGAGGCAGGGCCATGCTGCCACCAACAGGGACACTGCCCCTCAGCCCCACACACGGTGAGTGGGGCAGGGATGTAGCAGTGACTGGGCCACCTCTTCCCTGCCTCGTCAAATGTCTTCATTCCTGATTTGTGGCATTGAATCACGATTTTGAGCTGTAGCAACTGACAGCCACAGCCCTGGATCATTGGACAAGTCCACAGGGATGAGGCTGGGATGAGGTCGTGCAGGTACAGCATGTAAAGTAACACCTGAGCCTAAATTCAACCCCTAAGCAAAGAGGTTAAAACCAGTGGGTGGAAGGTAAGATCTTGAGAAATTCTCGAGCAAGCCACCTTCGAGTCTGGCAAAGGAAAAGGGAGAAAAAGGGCTCTAGCAACAAGGAGCATGTTGTCCTTATGGAAAAGGAGTTTGAATACAGAATTACAAGCAGACTGCAATAAAATCTGCCTGTGCACAGTTCATGTGATGAATAAAGCATTTTTGCTCTATGTTACAGGCCCAGGGTTGGATTTTCTGTTGCACAAAACTGGTACCCAGAACTTCCCTTCCAAATGTCAGTCTTCCTTCAGGGAATCAGCTCTTCCATAGGAACTGAAATCACAACAAAAAGTTAAGAGAAGGATAGGCTGGATGGATATCTCTGTGGGCTGTTCCTGTGGGAAAGAAGGGGCTTTTCAAGAGCAAAAGGGTGCTAAAATCCCTCTTTTCACACTTACAAATCCCTTTATTTGTCTTAGATACTTTCCCATTTCTTTTGTCAGGGGGTTGGTAGATCATCCCCACCCCTACCCCTCCCCCGCAGCAATGAGTTCAGGTTACCATTTTCAGTTTCCTATACAATTTAGTTCACATCTAGAAAGACATCAAACTAACCTTTGTGGCTTGTATATTTTTATTTCCTTACACTTGTGACTGCCAAGGGAAAGTTGCTTAGCAACTTCCCCAGGAAAATTCACTCATAGTACCTGAGATTTTTTTTTTTTTTCCCCCACATCTTCTAATGCTGATCCCAGCTGTTTCTCATCATCTCTTTCCATGGCACTTGTCTTTCTCTCCCAGACAATATGCAATACACACCAGTGTCTATTAGGGAGAAGACACTGGCAGACTATAAATGGCAGAGAGTTGCCACACGTCTGAAAAAAAAATCCAATGAGAAGAGTGGTTTAATTTAGATCCTCTTCAACTCAATAAAAAGAAAATCCTGAAATAATACAGCTTTCGAAAAGCGTAGACAGTATGCAAGTGCTGTGTTGTTTGGAAAAATATTTGTTTGTATTGGTGATGGTTGCCATAGGATTGAAGAGAGAAGGCACTGCATCCCACCACTGAGAAAAGGAACTTGTATCCCCACCTCATGCCAAGATATTCTCACCATTGTTGTTAACTATTCCACTCTGAAGGGACCATATGAAGCTCTTCTTGGACAGATGAGAATAACACAGAAAATCAATTTGTGCTAACTAATGGGGAACTAAGAGAAGAGTGGTGTATTGGATTTGTGTGGCAAGGTTTTGGTAGCAGGGGGCTGTGGGGGTGGCTTCTGTGAGAAGAGCAGCAGCAGGTGAGAATACACAGAGCCCGTGTCAGCCAGCTCCAAGGTGAATGCACTGCTGGCCATGCCCAACCCCAAGTCTGCCAACAATGGTGGTAGCACCTCTGGGATAAAGTATTTAAGAAGGGGAAAAAGTTACTGGACAGAAGCAATTTCATCAGGAGAGGAGTGAGAGTATGTGAGAGAAACAGCTCTGTAGACACCAAGGCAGAGGGGGAGGAGGTGCCCAAGGCACCAGAGCAAAGATTCCCCTATAGACCGTGGTGCAGACCATGGAGAGACAGGCTGTCCCCGTGTGCCACTGAAATCCAGTAAAATAAACTCTCCAACCAGAATAACAGGTTAGAAAACTGATGTGACTTTATTGTGGTATTGGGTGCATGGGGGAATCACTCCACCTATCATGCACACCAAGAAGAGACAGTTTACAGCTTACATACATTTATTATATACATATTCATCATAATTTGTGAAGTTCCCACCCAGTTCTCATTGCATATAGTAATTTGGGTAGATACGGCCAGGCACTGTGAATTCAAAGAATGGTCTTTGCTGGTTATGGTGGTCACTTGGGGAGAAATACCTCATTTTACCCTTTTATGGACATCTGTTATATAAGGACATGGGAGTGCTTGTTTAGTCTCGCCAATTAACTACATGCTCTTGTTTGGGAAATTTATGACCTAAGAGGCTCTTCTAGTAGTTTTCTCTTGCAGCCATTTACTTATTTCTCTTCCTCCTTATTGAAGAGAGGAAGGCCCACATCTATTTGAAGGAAGACATTTGGTTCTTCTGTTGCATGCCTTCCTTATCTCGAGAATCCTTTCAGCCTTGACTGTGTCTCCATCCACAATGGAATACTAGTTTAATCTGGTATCATGTGCAGCCCATGGAGGTCTATAGTGGAACAGATCCCACCTGCAGCCTGTGGAGGACCCCACACGAAAGGAGGGGGATGTCCAAAGGAGACTGTGGCCCCGTGGGAAGCCCACACTGGAGGATGCTCTTGGCAGTGCCTGTGGCTCTGTGGAAAGAGGAACCCACACTGGAACAGGTTTGCTGGCAGGACTTGTGACCCTGTGGGGGACCCACGCTGGAGTAGCCTGTTCCTGGAGGACTGGAACACTTCATGAAGAACTGAAGTCAAAAGGACTGACTTTGGAATAATTCATGAAGGACAGTCTCCCACGGGAGCAGGGGAAGAGTGTGAGGAGTCCTCCCCCTGAGGAGAGGAATTCCCATTCCCTTGTGCTCTTGGAGGGGAGGAGGTAGGGAAGTCAGGAGTGAAGTTAAGCCCAGGAAGAAGGGAGGGGTGTTCTTAAGATTTGGTTTTATTTCTCATTATCCTACTCTGATTTGTTTAGTAATAAACTAATGTCTCCAAGCAAAGTCTGTTTTGCATGTGACATTAACTCGTGAGTGATCTCTTCCTATCTTTATCTCAACCCAGGAGCCTTTTGTGGTATTTTCTCTCTCCCATCCAGCTGAGCAGGGGCATGAGAGTGGCTTTGGTGGGTACCTGGCATCCAGACAGGGTCAGACTTCCACAGGTGGGTTCCCTGCCAAATCTGTGTGCATGAGTACGACGGAAGGGACGGTGTGTGTGCGCTCCTCCCAGATAATCTCCCCCTTGTGTAGCCTGAGGGGAGAGACTGATCCGTTTAAAGGCACAGTGCCGGGCTGCCTATGCAGACTCTCCAGTGCCACACGGAGCGAAGGTGCTTTGAGGTCTCCGGGCAATCCGTTGGCTGCGGGCTCTGCCGGAGTCTCCCATCCTGCCCCGGCCGGAGCTTCCTTCACTGCCCTACGTGTGCACAAGGCTCAGGACTGCAGTTGCAGCAATATAAATCCTGGAGCTCAAGGAAATCGTGGAGGGAGGCCGGGAATCCAGTGTTGTAGTAAGCAGGCTGCCGGTCGGTGCCCTGAGCCTGACCACCCAAGACTCTACTCTTACCACCCCAACACAAAAGTTGCTCTGCGCTTCCCCGAAACGAACCACACAGAGCCCAACGACTCATAGCCCCGCCCTTCGTGCCTCAGACTCGCCTTCTACTGAATCCCATCCCCCTCACCGCCCCTTTTCCCCCTCTCCGCCTCCTCTCAGCATGGCGACTGCTGGGAAAGACTCCTTCACACAACAAACTTTTCTTCCCTGATCCAGTTCTCTGTTTCTTCCCTCTCGGTAATCGTGCAGGTAGCAGTCGTCGCTTGGTGCAAAACGAATGCTCCCCAGCTGCTCCGCCGCCTGGAATACGGGTCGGCTCCCGTCAGAGAAGCATGTATTGGAGAAGCGACGACAGGCGCCGAGCCGGCAGCGCCACCGAGACCAATCCCCGTCCTCCGGCAGCTGCTCAGGGCCCGGTCGGGGGCGCTTGCTGCGGAGCTACATAAAGTTCTCACTCAGGTCCAACCCAGCCCGGCAGTTGAGAGGTTCTGGGTCGTGGCGCCCGCCCCCTGCCCTGCTGGGGGATTTACTGAGCCCGGAAAACCGGGGTAATGGAGGAAGAGCCGGAGCAGAGATCAGTACAGCAAGCAGGGCTGGGCGGATCTAGGAAGAGAACGCCTTGAAAACGCCTCGGTTTGCTTTCTGTCCCCCACGAGAACGCTACGGGAAAACTGGTCCAGCCTGAAGCTTTTTGCTGAAACAAAATCACAAGGTCACCCTGAGACATACGTGATTTCTATGTTCCCAGCTCACAAATTTCCTGTTAAGAGTGTTTCACGGGGGAAGAGAAAACACCGGCTACCGAGAACACGCTTATATAGGACATTAATGGGAACATCTCCACAGATCACTATTCAAATCCCTTCCCCCACCCCAAAGTGAAGTGGGTTCTAGGGCTGTTTTGGGAATCGTGAAGTATCTGCCCCTGTAGCAAATACACAATGCATCGTTTAACGGGAATTGGTTACCTATATCTAGGTTTACTGAAACAGACAGTATTTTAACATTACTATTATTCCCTTCCTGAAAAACCCACAGAATGCAGTAAGTCAAAGAACCAGCTTTTACTGAAAAAGTGAGTGGCTCCTAAAAGAGCCTTTGGGTTGCCTACTCCCCGTGGAGAGCAGACACTTTATTTGGAACTAGTGTACTTAGTAACGGCCTTGGTACCTTCGGAGACTGCGTGTTTGGCCAGCTCACCTGGCAGCAGGAGCCGCACGGCCGTCTGGATCTCCCGGGAAGTAATGGTGGAGCGTTTGTTGTAGTGTGCCAGGCGCGAGGCCTCGCCGGCAATGCGCTCAAAAATGTCGTTGACAAAGGAGTTCATGATGCCCATGGCCTTGGAAGAGATGCCCGTGTCAGGGTGCACCTGCTTCAGCACCTTGTACACGTAGATAGAATAACTCTCTTTGCGGCTTTTGCGATGTTTCCTGTCACCTTTCTTCTGGGTCTTGGTCACCACCTTCTTGGAACCTTTCTTAGGCGCAGGAGCAGACTTAGCCGCCTCAGGCATTCTTGAAAAACAATCACGTCTAAAACACCACACTAAAGACAAAACACGAGAAAATAAACCCACAACTCGCTGTTGCCTCTTTTATGGCGGTGCCGGCACAGCAGCGGCTCAATAGCGCCGCATCACCATTGGCTGCAAGCGCCTATTAGGTCGTCACACCGACCTGAAATCTGCTATTGGACACTTCTCGATCCTCATTGCCATTGGCTGTCAAAAAATAATCCTTCTTCACAGCCTATCAGAGAAGATGCTGCTGCTCCGACCACACCATATATAAATGGGCTGGCGGAGACAACTAGGAATGAGTTCGTATTTCGTCGGAAGTATTGGAAGTGTCTTTGCTGAGCTGCTTTAGAGATGTCCGGGCGCGGGAAGCAGGGCGGGAAGGCGCGTGCCAAGGCCAAGTCACGCTCGTCGCGGGCCGGGCTGCAGTTCCCCGTGGGCCGCGTCCACCGCTTGTTGCGCAAGGGCAACTACGCGGAGCGGGTGGGAGCCGGCGCCCCGGTGTACTTGGCAGCCGTGCTGGAGTACCTGACGGCTGAGATCCTGGAGCTGGCGGGCAACGCGGCCCGCGACAACAAGAAGACTCGCATCATCCCGCGGCACCTGCAGCTCGCCATCCGCAACGACGAGGAGCTCAACAAGCTGCTGGGCAAGGTGACGATTGCGCAGGGTGGTGTGCTGCCCAATATCCAGGCTGTGCTGCTGCCCAAGAAGACTGACAGCCACAAAGTTAAAACTAAGTGAGCTTATCTAAGAAGCAAAATGGATAAAAAGGCTCTTTTTAGAGCCACCCACAATGGTCGTGAAAGGTTGAATCACTGCAGTTTCTTTTTTTTTTTTTTTCTAATGAATGTAGTCCCAGGCATGTAAGCTTTTTTTTCTTCAGGCCTAATCTATGCGGCTCTCTACTACCTGAATTTCTGTGGTGGAGGATATTATTTTTATTAATATTCTTGTAAATTTGCTTCCTGTTTGGGGGGAGGGGTACTTTTTTGTTTGTTTTGAGAAATCTTAACATCAGTACTGTAGCTACATTTGTGTATGGTAGTGAAGTGAACATTGCTTCTTCTAAGGAGTAAGCGAGCTCTAGCTTTTTTTTTCATATGTTCTCTGTAATATTTAATTGTGAACAATATAAATCAGATGTTTTGCATCAATCTACTTTGTTTTCTTGTCCTGTTGCAGGCTATCAAACAGTAGTTGATTACTATTCAACTCTGGGCAACTTGTGATTTTCAAATTCTGATGGTGCAAAGTACAGGCAAACCCCCCAACCCTGAGGAAGTTGGTTGGTCCTGACTGGCCCAGAACCAATTCTTTAACAAAAAGATATATGTTCCCTGCCTTAGTTTACTTGTTATTTTCCGTTTTCCATTGTGTATTAACGCTATCGTGTAAGAGATTTGGTACTGGTTTTCTCTAACAGTTAATTGTAGCATACTAGTGAAGGATTTCAGGCAGGGCAGGGTTACCAATGTTTTTATCAAGCTGCATAATGTGATATGCTACCATGATGATAGCTGCTGCATTTCACTGCAAAGTGGACTATTGTTTTTAATTTTCTTCCATTTCTGGCACTAGTGCCTGAATCCAGTATCTTCTATATGAGGGCTGGGGAGTTTCAAGTTCCCTTCTCATTTTAGAAGAAGGTGCATGGCTCTTTAAAGAGCTGCTGCTGTTCCTGCACTGCTGCCTCGAAGTTGTTTCTCTGCTGTGGGGCTGCATTGCTTGTTTCCGTTGGGCTTTTTTTGTGGCTGTTTTGTTTTTGTTTTTTTTTTTTTGTCGCGTGTGTTTTTGTCTTTTTTTTTTTGCCTTTTCTCTCTTTTTTTTTATTTTTATTTATTTATTTTATTATTATTTTTCTTCTGGTTTTAGTGGAGTTCCTGGCTGCTTTTTGGTGTTAAAATCTTATGCAAGCTGCTGGCTTCTTGACTTTCCTGGGCCTATTTTGTGCACTCCATAGGGGTGGATATGGCCTTAACGATGAGCCCTATGTGACCGGAGCAAGAGAAGTGGCTTCCAACGTGCCCACAGATTTCCCTATCCTTGTCCTTCAGAATAAGGAAGAGAGAGATGTGGGCTAACATATATGTGCACTTGGTATTCATCGAGTTTAGCTTCTCTAAATATGAGTCAATAATAAGCTCACTCTTTTTTCTCCCCTAACGAAACTGTCCTCTGCATACCAGAATCCTGGGGATTGTAACAAAACCCGTGAAATCCCTGGCTACGCATGTCACCTCAAAGTTGTCTGAAAGAATTTAAATTCTAGCTTCCAGACTGTAGGAACTTTCAAGCGGATAGTATTTCAGATTGCTTTGTTACAAATGAATGCTCTGGTATCAGCAGTACAAATGCAGTAATACCAGATGCAGAGTATTCATTATTATTTTTGTAGTTATTACTTTAATTTCCTTATTATAGAGTGCATTTAGGCACTATATAATCCATCTAGTTTCTTTATCTGGGATCTGGCTATGTGAGGTCTAAACTGAAGTGCCACAAGACCAAGCAACTGTTGCACAGGTAGACTCTTTCATGAAGATAATACTTAAATGTGCTTTACGAAAATTTAGGGTAAGCGGGTAGATAGTTTTGAAAATACGTGTGCATATACAGTGTGAGAATGTGAAGATCTGCAGCCTTCTGTAAACTGCACAGACGTATTCGTGGTTAGTTCTTTAACATTACCTAGGTTTTACTACAGTAGAATGGGAGAGGAAAGTGGAAATGCCTGCCGTCAAGAGACAAAGAGAAATCTGCTTCTTCCGGCCAATGAATGGGACCACTTAACGACACTGAGGAGTCGGCGCTTCGGGCGCTCCAGCAAAATACAGCTGGTACCCGTCCCCAACACCTACCCCAACCCCGGAGGGTCAGGCTCCACATTCTTCCTCCTCAGTCGCCCTTGGGGAAAGCGGGACGTGCTCTGTTTCGTCCGGATTGAACAGTTGTCTACACTTTGAAATGAATTATGTAGGAATTTTCTTTCTTCATTGTGCGTTTTATTCCTCGAGCGAGGGAAGCAGAAGAAAGAATCAAAACACTCGAAGGGTTTTTAATATCTTTTAAGCAGTATGGGATTTACTGTGTGATTTAAACCCAAGCATTTAATTTGGGTATGCTAACAGAAGGAGAGCTCAGGCTCCTCGTTGAGTCAATGCAGCGGGTGGTGGATGACGGAGCGGAGAGTCGCCACTAGGAAACCTCGTTTCTTCAGAGATGACGAAACCCTCCAGGTTTATAGGTAGGGCCTGGGCAAGCTGAGATTTTCCTGAGTCCCGTGTCGGTGCCAGAGACAGGGATTTAAGGACTGATCCGCCTCCAAAGGCTACTCTGCTCTGCGGCATCCTCTGACCCTCGTTCACTGCCATAGACGCCTGGGAACCACGGGAAGAGGCAAAGAAAAGGGTCGGATGTCTCCGAGAAGGGCAGAGTATTTTTCATGATTTAAAAATCCTTTATATTTTTCCACTGATTGAGGTGGTTTTAACTCTTTTGTTGTTAAGAAATAAACCTCTAGGATAAGTGGAGTCCATATTATTCAGCTCAGAGAAATTCTGTAATTCAGTCACAGGCCTTCCGCAGCTTCCCGATGTCCCTTTTATGTCATTTTATACCCTGTGCTATTTCCTGCTGAGAAATACGTTCTCTCATGCAAATGTTATCAGCTGGGAAATGCTGTAAAAAAAAAAAAGATAAATTAAAATATGTAGTTTACACCCCACCCCACCCCCCTTTTATCTGCCTTCATGGTATTGTGAAAAGTGTTAATCGCTCTGATCGACTGTATCAGCATTTCAGAAAGGCTTATTGTAGGATTTTTGTCCCGTCGATAAATGCACCATTAGAAACTGCTATTATAAGCCTGAACTACAGCACATACATATCTCAGGGGAAGGGTTGCATGGCATTTAAGTATTTGTCAAGGCTAAAACTCCAGGAGCTAAATATGCCTCACACCCATGTAACCATTTCACTTCTGCAAACGGATCTGTACTAGCAATTTCTAAAGGCAGAGTTTAAAAGCCCCTGTATGTAGGGAGCAGAACCGATTCATAGAAATTGTTTGTGCTTCCTGAGCCAGCTGAGCTGAGCCCAGCACCCAGGGCTGCCTGCGGCGTCGTCGGTCCTGTTTTGTTGGTTCTTGGAGCACACGAGGAGATAGCTGTTTTAAAAGCCGTATTTCGATGTGTAGATACATCGGGGCTTTGTGATTCCTATGGAAATACTCTTCCTCTTTCCTGAGCGAGATGATTAAAGATGCTAACCTTGCTGGGCCCCGAGTGTACAAGGCAAAATACCCCCAAACCTACCATGTGGAGTGTTCAGACCGTTTCACGTTTCAGTTGCTGCTACTTGCTACAAAAGAGTGCATACAGGTGACATAAGAAGTTTCACCACAGCTTCGGTGCTGCAGAAAGGTAGTGTAAATTTCTCCACTCCACTCTGATGTCCAAATTTCAGCAGTAACTCTCCAAGTGTGCCCTCTTCTTTTTCTTTTCTTTAAAAAAAAAAAAATCTTTTTTTTTTCCATTTTCTTATGTCCTTTTCAAGCACAAAATCTAGATGCAATGCAAGTAGGACTAAAGTACAAAAAAATTGTGAATTTTACTGGTGATTAAAATTCCAGGGTGTCCTGATACTCCTTTCACACACAAAATGCTTATTTTCTAGTTTTAAAATACAAGTATGTCTAGACTTCTGTGTTAAAAATTAATTGAAGGACCTTTGTCACTAATACTTAGTACCACTTTTTTTTACAAGGAATATTTTTGGAACAACCTCTCCATCTGGACAGGCTATTAAATAGTTCTTTGCAGTCACCAAAGAAACCCAAACCAAACCCTAAAAAAAACCCTTCCACTTACATAGGCCTCTGATTCTGTGATCCCAGTCCTGGAGGAAGGAGGCAGACCTGCTCACTGTAGTGTTTCTTCCTCGTAGGTGTGTGAGCTGGGAAGGTAGAAAGGTTGTTCCCAGCTGCATTCCCCTTCACTTCCAACTCTTTTCTCCAGTGAGATGTCACATCTTGACCTGAACTGTGCTCTGATGCAGCACAATCCTGAGACCAGGTTTTCAGAGCCCAAAGACTCTTTTTCCTTTAAAATCTGAAACAGGCACATTTTCATTCCTGGCCCAAAGCATTATATCCAGTTGTATATAGGACTAAATCTTTTTCCCTTGCTGCAACTAATACCATCTTCCTCGATGCTAATTATTTTTTAAATATATTCTTTTATACTAAAACTGAAAAAGAAAGTCTCTGGGAAACCAACATTGCAATAATTTATAATCTCTGCATAGTAGAAAAAAATGATTTCATAAATAGGTGGGAAGATACTGATATAGCCAATTTAAAAAAAAAAAAAAAAGCAGGAAGGAGTATAAAATTGTTAAATCCAGTCTGTTTTTTTTTCAGGTTGTGGATAAGATACAGCATCTACTTCATGTTTCTGATTTTCTGCCCAGTCAGTTGTTTACCCAGCTGATGTATTTCACTTTTGCAGAAACAAACTCACACTTTTAATGATTAAAATGATGATCAAGTAATATAACTCTTTCTGTAGGGTATGCTGATCTAGAAGAAATAGAAATCTGTGCAAGAATGCTACTAACATCATAATTCTGTTACAAATAAGACAAGGGAACTTTTGTAGCTGTTTGGATTGTTTCTCAGGATTCTTTATGGCTGGTTCTTTGATACAGGTCAAAACTAAAGTAACTCTGATAATCTGATATACAAGAAAAGTTGCTGATATTAAACCAAGTATTTTGACAAATATACTTTGACAAAACCAAATATACCCTATATTTCAGTTGCTGTGAATGAAGAGGTATTTTGAAGATAAATATGGAGGGCAGGTAAAAACACAACACAAAGAGCCTGTTCATAGATTATGTATTTTAGCACTTTCCAGTGCTGAGAACTATTAGGATTATTAGCCTTGATTAACACTAGTAGATAAAGTAATTGAAGCCTTAGGTCACTGAGAGTAAACTTTTTGATAAAACTAATGCTGCTAACACATAATTAGATGAATCTGTCACATATGACTGGAATAAAGAAGATAAGGAGCAAGGAAACAAATCCAGGAGAATGAGATAACTTCAGAAGAACAGCCCAGCAATCAAGGAAACCAATAAGAAATCAAGAGACCACTGACCAGAATTAAGTGCTTGGACTTGGGGATTGAGTGCTGGGTGGCACAGGTATAACTGGGGGGTGTGATCTGCAGTCGTGGTCCCACTTGGAGCATCCACTTCAAGATGCTCTGCATGTTTGGTAAATAAACCACTTACTTATGCTGTGGATTGGGGACTCATGTTCTTCAAGGAGGAACCTGGGGATGAGCCCTGTTGAGGTGGCATCTGCATAATTCCTACCATGAAATTAGGTGGCTGCAACATAATTTCTACTACACTAGGATGATATATTTGAAAACTGTGCCATCTTACTGTTGCTGGGTGATGTTACTTGGGCAGAGTGATTTCAGAATAAAAAGAACACTGCTTTGAACTGAGTAGGAAAGAACATTAAAGAATATGAATGATTGAAAAATATGCAGTTATATAATTTTATATTCACAATATTTTTATTCACTTTGAACACATCCTCCTGTGTAATGAAATTGTTGTTTGTTACTCTTGCTGAGACTAAATTCTACTACTTTTGCCTCTGATGAAAAGAAAAAGTACACCAAACTTTCCACAGTAGTTTATTTTTTTATTTTTTACATTTGAGAGACTTTGGTCTCAGCATGGATAGAAAAATAACAAAGGTGTTAGAATAAGATCTGATGATGTGTGTGCACAGATTGAAATGCTATGCCTACAGTACAGACCCCTAATATTTTATCATTCATGCTGACATTGAAAGAAGTAACATTTTCTTTTCTGTGAAGAGTTTCATAAACATAGAAATGATCTCACATACCAAAACAGACTTTTTTTTTTTTTTTTAATAAGGATACTTGGAAGTTACTGTGTGTTGTGGCTTAAGCACAGCTGGTAACTCAGAACCACACAGATGCACACCTGCTCGTTCACTCTCCTCCTTCCTTCCTCCCCTGCTCTCATTGGTTTGGGGGGAATCGAAAGAATGTAAACTCATGGCTTGAGATAAGAGCAGTCCAATAACTGAAGTATAACATAAAACTATTACTACTACCACCAATAATAATGATATGGGAAATTACAAAGGGAGAGAATATAAAACTAAAAAAGGAAGGGGAAAAAAAACAAACAACAAACCCACCAGAGATGCTCACCATCTGCTGACCAATACCCAGGCCAACCCAAGCAGCAATCTGGGCCTTCCAGGTAATTCCACCAAGTTTATATACTGGGCATGATGTACTGTGGTATGGAATACCCCTTTGGCTAGTGTGGGTCAGGTGTCCTCTCTCTATTCCTTGTGGCCCTCCTCATCGGCAGAGCATGACACTCTAAAAAGTTCTTGATCAGAGTAAGCATTACTTAGCAACAACTAAAACACCAGTGTGTTATCAGTATTGTTCTCAGACTAATGCTGAAAACAGCATTGTACCAGCTACAAAGAAGAAAAATAATGGTTACAGTTGAACTCAGGACACTGTGAAAGCTATGTTTTGAGAGCAATGAACTGTGTACCACAGAGCATACAAAAACTGGAATGGCAAAAGGAATGCAGATGGATTCCTGAGCTGGGAAGCCAAAAGGCACCAGAGATCTTACTTTAATTCAGGTAACAGTAATGCCCTCTGATAGTTGTAGTTAAAATTACAGTATTTTTTTATACATGCACTTTATTTTTTAGGACAACATAACTGAATTTGACTTTTACATGACTACAGAGAATAAAAGCCACTGACAAATTATTCTCATGATCATTATCCCTATCAGAAGATAAGCACTTTTGGTATATATTTTCTAGAATTCCTTTCTAGTGACCCAGCATTCCCCTAAATAAAAAAATCTAGCGATGGTTTATTCATCTCTGTAGGTGTTGGACATAGAGGCTTGGAATGTACAAGCTCCAATTCTGAGTTTGCACTAAGACACTTGGAGAACAGATCTCTCAACTCCATTTGAAGCTGCTGAAGAGCAGAATGTGGAGGATACTTCTTCCCACTGGACATAAAAATCTATTCTGAGAGGTCCCCATCAGCCTTCAAACTGAAATTAACTCTGATAAATTGGTGACAGATTTAAGAGAGAGAGATCTGGTGTTTGTCTGTGTACCTGTACAATGAAACAACATGTAGTCAGTACTAGAAAGGTCTACTTTAGTGATTCTGTGGCCCCTTTATGAACACAGAATATGCTTGAATTTCAGGATTATTCAATCCAGTTTGAGGGAAGGTGATAATGGCTTTAATCTCCATCTAGAGCAGTATCTAATGCTGCTGTAGACGCAGATTTTCAGGGAGTCAGAGAGTGATTCAGAAAGTCTTCAGTTTGAGCCTGAAAGACTTTAAGGCTGATTGGTACCTTTAGGATAAACTCCAATAGCTTACAAAGTTAGCCCACATTGGTTAGTTTTAGTCTTTGACAGTTTTAATGCTATGAATAACCTATAAATATAGGAGGGGTCAGAGATGAAATGTTTTCTTCACTTTGGTTTTTTTTTTTTTTAGATAGAAGGGGAACATTCTCTACCTGAAACAATCACAGGGAGAAGCTATGCAAAAAAATTTATTATTTTTTTTTTTAAAATCACATGCACAGTAGAATTATTAAGAAAATTGATGAAGATAAGTAACTTCCAGAAAGAACTTCTGTGCTGTATTGATCACTGTGCTCCTGGTAACAATTTATTAAGATGAATGTCACTTGTTACTACATAAATTATTTTAGAGTAGAGTACACTGGGGACACATCTCATCCTGATTAAAAAAATAATAAAAAAAGAATAAAATAATAAAAAAAAGAAGACCGAGCACCATCAAGTGGCAAATGCCGTTAAAAACTGCACATGTGTAAATTCCCATTAGTAACAATTTTACTTCCTGACTTTTAACATCCAATTCACAATGCACACAGCATGAACATGCTTAAAATAACAATGTATTGCACAAAAAATACAACACTCTAAACAGTGAACTGTAATAACTTCATAAATCAATTATGGCCTAGAAATACAATTTAAACAAAAAACTTCAAGTCTTTCATTACAGCAAGTAATTTGATGCCCAGAAAGTATGTTCCCCAACACAGAAAATTGGGAGAATATTTTGTCACAATCTGAAGTGGGACTTGAAAAATTACTTTGAACTAAAGTTCCATGAAAAACTATTAAAGGCTAACTTGACTGAACAGCCCTTTTATTGAAAATGTGGGTGGCTCTTAAAAGAACCTTTGGATTAAGACTGTCGGTCTGAGATTTTACTTGGAGCTGGTGTACTTGGTGACAGCCTTGGTGCCCTCAGAAACTGCATGCTTAGCCAGCTCACCTGGCAGCAGGAGCCGTACAGCTGTCTGGATCTCCCGAGAGGTGATGGTAGAGCGCTTGTTGTAGTGTGCCAGGCGCGAGGCCTCGCCGGCAATGCGCTCGAAAATGTCGTTGACGAAGGAGTTCATGATGCCCATGGCCTTGGAGGAGATGCCCGTGTCAGGGTGCACCTGCTTCAGCACCTTGTACACGTAGATAGAGTAGCTCTCCTTGCGGCTCTTCTTGCGCTTCTTGTCGCCCTTCTTCTGGGTCTTAGTCACCGCCTTCTTGGAGCCCTTTTTGGGCGCAGGAGCGGACTTAGCTGGCTCAGGCATCCCAGCAAGCGCCTGTCTCACAGACGTCAAATACAACGAAGACAAAACCAGAGAGAGCAGCACAGTGTATTGACTCGGGGGCCACATCTTTATAGTACCGTCTTGCAAATGAGCAGCATCCCCGTTGCCTACTTTCATTGGTCAGAACACAGCAAAACGTCATAACTCGCCTGTGCCCGACTTTTATTGGTTAGAATTCGATTCAGCTCCTGATTGGCTGCGCAGAGAAGACCTACTTCTCAGCCTATCAGTGAAGGGGCGAGGTGGGAGAGCGAAACTATAGCTGAGGAGCGCCGGCAGTTTTCTTTGTTGCGGAGCTGAGGGCTTTTAGCGCTGACAGATTTAGTGAGTGAAGATGTCCGGGCGTGGGAAGCAGGGCGGGAAGGCGCGTGCCAAGGCCAAGTCACGCTCGTCGCGGGCCGGGCTGCAGTTCCCCGTGGGCCGCGTCCATCGCCTGCTGCGAAAAGGCAACTACGCGGAGCGGGTGGGCGCCGGCGCCCCGGTGTACCTGGCAGCCGTGCTGGAGTACCTGACGGCCGAGATCCTGGAGCTGGCGGGCAACGCGGCCCGCGACAACAAGAAGACTCGCATCATCCCGCGGCACCTGCAGCTCGCCATCCGCAACGACGAGGAGCTCAACAAGCTGCTGGGCAAGGTGACGATTGCACAGGGTGGTGTTTTGCCCAATATCCAGGCTGTGCTGCTCCCCAAGAAGACCGACAGCCACAAAGCCAAAACAAAGTAAACATAAGGCTTTCCCTTGTGCTGCACGTTTCCAGAGAAAATAATTCAAAGGCTCTTTTCAGAGCCACCCACAAAATCATGAAAGGGCTCAATTATCCATAGTATAATTACGCTGCCTTATATGAACTACTCAACCCGTGTTTTGTCTTACATTCTCCATGTTTATTAACAGTATTTTTGGCTTGGTGGTAGAAGCAACGATTTCCACGTTCTCATTAACACAAAGTGCCAAAACGTCCTCCCAAAGCAAGTTCTTCCTGGTGTGGGATATCTCTCGTGTAGTTCTTATGCTAGAGAATATGGGAGCATCATTTTGGCCAGGGCTCCTGTCCCTTCCCCAACTCTTCCGCGTTTTTCTTCTCCGAGAGGGGCTGGAACAGCACCAGATATACGAGGCATAATAATCTTTGGGGAGGGAGGGGGAAGGGGCGGAGGAAGGGGCAGTAGGCAGGGCTCTCCGTTGGCCAATCCTTGGTCTGGGCGGGCTTTTTCAATACTTTAAACCCTTTCTCAAGGGGAACAAAAGGAAAAGGAGCTCTCAGGGCTATTTTCGGGTCTCCGGATTAAAACTCTCCCCTCCTCCACCAAACAGCAAAACCATTTAAGAGAAATACAATAGATTAGACATGGCTCAGTAGTAGCTTGCCTGGCATTCCCATTGCTTTTGTTACAAAATATAACCTTAAAAAAAAAAACCACCAAAACAACAAATCCCATACATCAGTTTTTTATCAAATAATTATAAAATATTGCTTCCTGGTAGTCAAACCAATTACTCGACAAAAAAAGACGTAAACCTACACTTCCCTAAAGCGCCGCGTCATACAGTACTTCGTTACCATGTCTTTCAGCAAACGTAACTGGTGGAAAAAATAAGAATTGACCTCTGAGAACTTACAAATTACTGGATCCTTGCTGCAAGTTACCCTCGGCCTCGGTGCCTCAGCTCCTTTAGAGAAAGTGTGGGTGGCTCTTAAAAGAGCCGTTGGATAACAAAGTATGTAGAGTAGGACTCTTCTGGTATGATTTACTTTTTCTTGGGCGCCGCCTTCTTCGCCTTGGCTGCTTTTGGCTTGGCTGCCTTGGGCTTAGCTGCTTTGGGCTTCACTGCTTTAGCCTTGGCGGAGCTCTTCGCTGCCTTCTTGGGGCGACCTGCCTTGGCTGCTTTCTTGGGGCTCTTGGCTGCTTTCTTGGCCGCAGTGGCCGCCTGCTTCTTAGCCTTCTTAGGGCTCTTCTTCACCGCCGCAGCTTTTTTAGGCTTTTTAGCGGCGCTTGCAGGCTTCTTGGCTGCTGGTTTTCTGGGTTTGGCTGCCGTCGCTCGCTTCTTGGGAGCTTTTTCTTTCACCTCTCCCGGTTTCTTGTTGAGGCGGAAAGAGCCGGAGGCACCGGTACCCTTGGTCTGCACCAGAGTACCTTTGTTGACGAGGCTCTTCAGCCCCAGCTTGATGCGGCTGTTGTTCTTCTCTACATCGTAGCCGCCGGCGGCCAGCGCCTTCTTGAGCGCGGCGAGGGAAAGCCCCTTGCGTTCCTTGGAGGCGGACACGGCCTTGGTGATCAGCTCTGTGACGCTAGGGCCCGCGGGCTTCCGGGCTTTGGAGCCGCCCGCCGCTTTCTTCGGTTTCTTGGCGGCGGCCTTGGCACCGGGAGCCGGCGCGTCGGGGGCAGCGGCAGGAGCGGTCTCGGACATGGTAGCGGCAGCAGCAGCGTCCTCTGCGGAGCAGGCAACGCAATTGGGTTGGCGCGGGTCAGCTGCTCGTATTTTTAGCGAGGAGCCGCGCGGTGATTGGTGCGTTGCAGAGCCCGCCTCTCTGTACGGCCGGGGAGCCTTTCGGTGTGCTCGATTTGTGTTTCTTTGGACTCACAAAAGTGTATTTTCCTCGGAATTTCTGCCACCAAATCACCCCGTTTCCCTGGTGAGGTAGGAGAAGACAAGGTACTTGCGTTCGGGAGAGTTTCCAGCCGGAAACATGCAGGCTGAAGTGAAGGAGAGGCAATAAATCCCGTGTGCTGCTGCTGGAGAGACCTCTGAAGAGAGAAACTTTTGTTTTTCCTTGCAAATTAAAAATTTTCTTTTGACATAAGTGTTACAGCAACTACACAGTCTGATTCTTTAGAGGGTTTTCTTGGTGTCAAAGTTGAAATTTGCCGGTTTAAAGCTAATTTGACAGTTTAAAGTGATTTTGAAGAGGAGGAAGTAACACAAACTCCTCTTTCAGCTTTGAATATGGATTAAGAACCGGTTCCTTTGACCATGTGTTTTACCTCCTAAAACGCTAAAGTCTACTGATATAGTGTCTTGTAGTATCTCTTATTGCCTTTTTTATAGATTCATAAGCAATTTGTTAATATCTGGAGATTTATGAACATAGTGTTGTTTTATTATCTCTTCCTGGAATTTCAGTATAAGGGAGGCAAACTTACTCTGTTACTCTGTGTTGGGTATTTTTTCTTTTGTTTGTTTTCAATATGAATTTCTGTACCAATTCTCAACTAGATGAAGGTATTTGCTTTTAATGTTCCATTTCAGTTTCAAGTAAACAGTTATTTGATATCTGATGTTGCAAAACTGCAGCTTTGTAAAAGAAAACAACCTCCTAAACTTCTGGTGATATTTACTGAAATTATCTTTGTCTCTCTGGCAATTTAAGATGTTCAAGGGCTGGCATAGCAGTTTAATAATGTTTTTTACTGCCTAGAGAGTGTTATCATGTTATGTGTTTTCTCTAATAGTAAGTTTAATAGAATTTAAAACCATATTATCGTCTGGAATATTTTTTTTATGCATCTCTTAGAATTTGTCTACACAAAGGTTTATCTAAAGCCAATTCTGAATCCTCTTCCTACTCTAAATAAAACTCATTAATTCTTCCATATGCATTTTATAGTGATCACTGAAACAAGAAAATGCTTTCAGGACAAAAACTAAAGCACTTTGTGATAACCTTTTGACAAGGGGAGTGGTAGGGCCATAGGTTATTCCTAAAGAACCAGGAAGAATTCAGTCAGTATCGCTATCTGGTGGAAGGTGATTTAATATGCTGAACAGAGAAAAGCTCTTGAACAATATTTCATTATCCTGTGCCCGATTATGAGCAAATGTGGTATCCATTGCTTTTTCCAGTTATTTGAGAATCACAAAGACTACGCTTCAGCCCTGGTGTCTGATTTCCTTTGATATTACCAGCTATAACGTACAATATGAACTTAAAGCAGATTAGTAACTAAAACTAACTAGTACTAACTAGGTTTAAGCACTAACTAGTACTTAAATCATATTAGTAGCTAAAATTTCAGACTGTATGAATAAGAAGTTTTGAGCAAAAGTAACCCTGTTTCCACCTCATTGTTTTATTTACAATGGCTGTTCTCTAAATACTAAATGTGTATATAACTTGAAAAAAAATAGTTTGCTATAAAATTAGGTTTCAGTAAGTATGAAACTGAATAAATGCAATGAAGGGAAAAATTTCAACCAGCATCCTAGATGGAAAAAAAATCGTTAAGAAAAAAAAAAAGTCTGTAAGAAAAGTGCTCCTGAGTGTTATAATGCTTCAATGGGAAGACAGCTGGGAGAAGGGTAATCTTACTACTTTAAAGATCTTCCTTGTAACAGTTACGCAACATAAGATAGGGATACAGGAATTAAATTATTTTGGAGTGGACGGGGGTATGAAGATATACCTTCACAGATTAGTAAAACGGAAGTAAAATAAATATATATATCTTTTAAGTCTATGTCCTAGGTGTGTTTATAAATCAGTGAATGAGATTTTCTATTGACTTCTATTGACATACACAATGAAATAAAGTAGCAATGCTGGGAGGAGATGACATTTAGCAGATACCAAGGCACTTAATAGCAGAGAGGCAGAGGAGAAAAGCTTAGACCTTGAAGTGACATGTCAGCAAAATAAAAATTCATATTGCCTATTCTTGTTATTTTGAACTTGTACACATTTCCTTCAATAACCTTCACTGTAGGAGGTTTAAATACTCTTGCCCTCAGTTGTGGCTTCACAGATTGTTTATTCACATTTATTGGTTGAATTGGCTGAAACTGGGGTGGCTGAAATGGTTGCCATCCCAGTTGTCTGCCTGGCTTTTCTCCCAGCAGTTGATACCATCTCCCAGTTTCCAACAGGGACATCTAATATGTATAGCAGCTTCTGATCTCCAACGGTTACAGTCTACTATCTTAAAAAAAGTATAAAATGAAATGACTTAGGAAATTTCCTGACACAGAGAGAAGCTCTGATCTTTCTTTTTTCTAGTGGCTTTTCAGGAAAGACATGAAATAACTTTAGCCATGTAGAATTGCTGCTTGGAACATGTGTTCTTTTGTACATGAAAGAAATACACGCAGGAAAAACATTTTGGAAAGTTGAGGTGCATTTGGCAATTTTAAAGAGAGTTTGCTCCACAGTCAGGGCAGATTAGTTTAGGAGGCACGGACAGATATACTCAGGCAAATAAAAAAAATGTAGTGAAGGATTACATAAAAAGCCGGAATAGCAGTTTCACCTACAGCTGAGCAAATGTGAAAAGGAAATAATCCTGTTTAGGTATAGGATGTTGTAGAAAGACTTTGTGAAGAAGGCGCCATGTAGACGCTGATGGGCAGTTTGGCTTTCCTAATGAGAGTGGAGGGAGGTAGATTTCAGCATTCATTAAAAGAGGAGAGGCGTGACATCAGGATCTCCAGAGCTACTTTTTGGAAAGAGCATCACTGTAATGTCTACTACATCTTGAATTGCTTCAATTCTTTCTACCTTGTGGGCACCCCAGCCGGCCACACTACATCAGAAACCTGCAAAGATTGCAATCTGAAGACTGCAAGTCACTTCCCTTCAGATACGCAGGTCTGTCCAACTTTTACAGTTATATTTTAAGACTTCTTGGCATAAACAAGAAGACACAGGAACCACAGCCCAGGGTTGGCCCTACACCTGAGAGCTATCAACCTTTCCCATCTCCAGTTTAGGACCTGCTAGTACTTGTTCCTAAGAAAATGAACTATATGTTTGCAGTAATGAGATGTAGCACAGTAGTTGTTCTTAAGCAATTTTGTAATGCGGCATTAGCCTGAGAGCTAGCCGCACCGTGTGGCTAATGGGCTGCTCTACCTCCTGAAGATGAGAGCCACGGTCAGTCATTCTTAGACAGCTGGAGGAAGTACAGCTCTGCACCACAGTCACTCTCTTTCCTTCAAGTGACAATTTCCAGAGAGATTTAGGTGAGGAACTTTATATTATGTACTACACTCCTGCAGACATGTTCCACAGGAAAGAAGCGTAAATACTCTCTGCAACCATGATTACACTCCTATTACAGTGTTACACCCATGCCTTACTTGCCTTCAGTGACTTCATCCTTCATCTGAGTTACAAATGTAATAACTTGCATGATCAACCCAGCCAGCACAGCTTAACAACTTTCAACCCTTAGCTAAGGAATTTTAAAGTGGTACGTACCAAACTACAAACTTCTTGCAGCTCAGCAAACAAGTCTCTGCCTACATAATCCTAATGTTGCTACTGTTGCTGTTGTTAAGGCTCAAAGCTTACTGAGGCCTTTTAAATCCAGTGTATGGCTGAGCATCTGGAGTGGGCAGCACAAACAGGGTAGGGCAGCGAATGACTGTCCCTGTAGACTCAGCTTCCTGGAATGTTGCACACCCCTCCCTGTACTCTTCGTTAAGGGTTGGGGCATCTGTTGTGGCCTCCCTTCATCCTTGCCATGGCATGTCATTTGGATGTTGAAAATCTATAGTCCAAAACCTGCACATGTCCATAGTTAGGAGGTATTGGGAAGGATGCTTTTCCTGGGAAAGCAGAAAAAAAAAACCACCCAGCAAAAATGCAGGGAAACCCTTCCCAGAATGGCTGATGTGGAAAAAATATGTTCTTTGTTGTCTAATGTACGGTAGTTTACCAGATTAACACATTTTTGTTTTTCTCAAACGCAGGCAAATAAAAGGTGCTCACTGTCAGTCAGGTATCAAGGAACAAAATTATTTATGCCTTAAAGTACTTTGGTTTTCTAAAACTAATCTAAGACACTTGGCAAACTCTCTTCTGAACCACCCTGGCATGCTTTGAACACAAGTCATCAACCAGCGATTTAGGACAAACTGTCCATGAAAGGCAAGCAACATTAACAGAAGCTCCATTAGCCATGGCTTCCCAAAGAAAAAAACTGTTTCCTCCTGAATTGCCAGTGTCTCTCTTTCACCTGCATTTAATAGTGAATTCCACCCAGAAAAGGTGCCACCACGCTGTCCTTTCAGAGCATCCTCTGTCAGCACTGAAGCCTGGCTCCTCAGACCTGTGAGCAACTCACACAGAGTGATGCTGAGCAGTTCATTCTTCCTCCCCACAGCACCCAGCACTTCTGTGTTTTCTGCCCTCCACTCTTTCCGATTGGTGTGGCAGTGCTCCCTGTGACTGCCAGTAAAAGTGAGGAAGCAACATGGCCTATGTATAAGTCCCCTCCCACTCCAGCCAGAACTATTTTTGGTATTTATGGAGGGATAAGTGCTTTTTGGCGCGTAGTGCATACACAGCTGGTCTCCAGTCCACCATCTCCATGGCTGGTGACACCCAGCTGCTGATGTGACAGACTTCCAGGTACATTTGGGTTGGCAGGCACCCCTTTTTGGCACACAGACAGGGATAGTGGCACCCAGACAGAGTAGCCTGGACTTCTGCCATCACTGAAAGCCAAAGCACTGTGTCACACACCAGGTTAAGATGCTCTCCTTAAGTGATGCTGCCTTACTGGTTTTGCTGAGAGGTGTGGGGCTCAAGCAGCTGCTGGCTCCAGATAGGGCTGTTTGTGCCATCTTTCTAGAGCAGGAGTATAACAAGGTAATACTTGTATGCCAGCAATATAGGCTGGCTGTCTTCACACAGAAGGGAGCAAAAAGGTTTTGGAAAGTTGTTCAGTGTGTAAGAGTGCTATGCCATAGCTTACGTTTTTTTACAGCGCATGATTTGTGGCTGGCAGTCCATGAAATGGTGGCAGAGCACTGCTGTCCTGTGCTAGGATGTCATCCAGACTGCCAGGGGCACTGGAAGGGCCAGCTGGT